ATTAATTATAATTTTGAGTTATTGTTTTATTTTTTATTTTTGACTGTTTAGGTGCAAAATATGGAAAGAAAAGATTAACTCGAATTTTAAAACAATTTTTAATGGAAATTGTTATCATTTTAAAGAAAAAATAAAGTTTAAATGCATTTTTAAATGATATAAACAGCTTATATAAGTAACCGCTTAAAATAGGTATATACGCTAAAGAAGTATCGCTAGTAGCGCCACCACTCGGCTGTAGAAATAAATTGCATACAGTCTCTGCAAATATAAATTGTACCTATTAGATACAATAAATACACATTTTAGTAGTGATTAACGTGAAAAGTGTAAAAATTTCAATTTAGTAAAAATCGTCAAACAAATAAGTCGTCTAAATTTAAACAGCATTTAGCATTATTAAAAGCATTGATTAAGAATTCTTTAAAGTCTCAACTCAACGGTAAAATACCGTTATATTATTTATCATATATAATATAATGTTGCCATGAATTCTTAGCTATATTTTGTTGTTTAAAATGCAGTTGTCGGCGTTTTATGTTGTTTCTTAGCAAAAATGACAAAAAGTACAGAGAAAAGAAATACTTAATAATGTGCTGAGTTTAAGTTAGAATGCCGACGCCTAGCAAAGGCCTTAAATTAAGCGAAGCACAAAAATACGCTTTTCAGCCGTATGGCATACAACATTTTATCTTTAAGGCATAATTTAATTTGTTAAACATTTCATAAAAAGTACAATAATTATTATAATTATTATAATAATATAATAATTAAGTAGCAAGTAAGCCTTACTTAGTAAGGTAAGATTAGATCTGACAGTAGTCAAATTTTTTAATTGTCCCAAACGGGTTTTTTTATAGGCTAGGAAGTAAATAACTTTACCGAAATGGTCTAAATAATTTTTTGATTGAAAATAAAGAAATTTAATTTAGCTAGCAGCATTTAACAGGAAAGTCAATCCGGGGATACACTGTATACCTTCGGTCATCTATGCACTGTATACAAGTAATGGCGAAAAAGTGTTTGTTTGTTTGCCTGTCACGTAGCAACGGATCAAAGTAATTTTTTTGCATAGAGATGGCTTACTCGGCCACAGTATAGCTGTTACTGTAAACAATACAGTTTTTCCATTCCATTTTAATATCTTATATTTGATATTTGTTATTTTGAATTTTATTTTATGCATACATTGTACAATATACATGTAAGCCGCAACAAATTTCGAAACGAATATTTTTCACTATTTTCATTGTAAACCACATATGGAACTATGTTATTGAGCAATAACACAAAGAAAAACAAAAGCACTTTAATACAAAAGAATCATTAAAATTATGAAATATACATGTTTAACGATGCTTCCACGGTTTTTACTGATACAATAATCAACACATTTATCGCATTGCTATTTCCCTAAATAACTCGATTTTTAATTAAATTAATTTGACAGCAAATTATTTTTATCTCCACGCGGTCTATAATTTAAACTTTATTGTTGTCAACATTCAATAAAGAAATACCTTGTTATGGCCTAGGCCGATAAAAAATTTTATGAGGCAAGTAATTAGTTCGATTTTTTCTCGCTAGGGGTATTGTTTTGACAAATTAATCCTTTTCTAAGAAATTAACGTACTAAACTGCAGTTAACCATGGTTTAATTTATTTATAATAAGCACTAATTTGTTTGTTTTACTGTTAATGTTTAACATTTTTCATTAAATTATTGTAAAATTAAATATGAATAATAAAACAAAAAGTGAGGTTAGGCAACCAAGAAAACGCACGATTCTTTTTCTACGATTTAAATTATCTTTAAGTTTTAATTTGCTTTAAGTTTTCAGTGAAATTAAATGTTAAACACAGCTAAAACATTCCAAACTACCTATTTTTTAAATAAAAATCCAAACAAATAGAAATTAGATAAACTAGAAACCACCAATATATGAACGTGACTCATCGGGTGCCGAACATATCTCAGACATGCTAGCAGTAATGTTTTACTTGTCTTGTACATTCGATGCAGCGGTAAATGTACTCACACGTAGGTTTTTAAGCATCCGGTCTAAAATGCGCCATCTGTGATGTAAAACTGCCTAGGTGTTGGACAAAGATGGACATATGACGCGTGTCCTAGCTTGTTACTTATTTTTTTTTGGAATTCAGTAGAGTCACGGCGTTCTCTAACCAGGCGGGAGTGTAGCCCCCACTCCTGCATCGAAACTGTGACGTCAGGAGGCCGATCTGATCAACGTCCGCCTATTGTATTACATTGCTTTGCAACCAAAGTTATGGATTATTATTGCTTTTAAGGAGTATTTATAACCAAAGCAGTGGACAATGCATAGTACATATTTTATCAAAGCAACAGAACAATATGTACTAAGTAATTTATTAAAAACAAACAGAGAACTGCTATTAAAATAGAAATTTATTTAAAACAAACAGAACTGCACACAAAAAATAATTCTTTAATTTTAAAATAACGATTTTTTTGGATTTTTATATTTAAAATAAGTATAGTCTAATTTTCATAATATGGAATATGAAATAATAATTTTGTTAAGTTTAATTTTATAAAAAAATTAGTTTAATTGATCTATTACTATTATGAATAATTACTCTAATTAAATTTTCTTGTATTTTAAATATAGAAATTATACTCTTTTAAATATTAAAGTATACTTAAAATAAATTAATATAGGTATTCATTTAAAAAAACAAGTTTGCAAAAAAACATAATAGATTTAATTTAAATAAAAAAGAAAACATTTATTTGATTTGAATTAAGAGTACCTACCTATACTATTTTCGTGTATATACTTATAACCATAAAAATGTTGGTTATTTAATGTAAATAATTATTTTTTTGTGTATGCTCTTAAAATAGTAATTTATTTAAAACAAACATACAACATTGGATTAATTTATAAGCGCAATAGAATAATTTATATTGCGCTATAAATAATAAGATTAACCAGTCTTTTTGGCTAATGTCAAAGGGCCATTTGAAGCATGAAAAAGGGGCAAATCATAAAACTGTTTTTATAAAATATATTGTAGGTATTATAGTATTTTGGCAAACAATTGTTAAATATATTCTTCTTTTATTAGGCCGTACAATAAATAAAAGAAACCCAAGCAATACTTCTACAAAAGTAGAGATAATTTTAATAATTGATAGTCGACAAAAGAATTTTTCTGCTGAATAAAAAGGAGACGGCAAAACTGTTCAAAAAAACCTCAGGCCGGCTTTGACAATCAGTAATTCATATGAAACTGTCTTGCATTACCTCGATAATACATTAATTTTCCTGTTAGGAACGCAACATTTTCTTGGTATTTATTTATAATGTTATAAAAGCAGCAAACTAATGCAATAATTAAATTAACGTTAAATCAAGCGATATCAATGGAAAAGCAATAGATAATTTATATAAAACTGTCTTGTTTTACTGCGGTTATACATTAATTTGCCATTGCAGTCGGCCTCCTGACGTCACACCTCCCACTACCACACTCTCGCCAGGGATAGAGAACGCCGTGGTAGAGTTCATGTTTTAGGCATTTATTTTATTTTATAACATAGTAAGGCCACCAACTTTACCGTCGGCCATTTGTTTTTATATGTCATTTGATCTTTGTTTTTGCATATCGTGTTTCTGCTGTGTGTTTACGGATTAATAATCGTTTTAAACGTTGTAGTGCTAGTGGTTTTTATTGCAATTGTTATTGCATGTTTATTGGACTTTATTGCAATTGTTATTGTACGTTTTTTGGACTTTAAATAAACGGTGTGTGTTTACGGATTAATAATCGTTTTAAACGTTGTAGTGGCAGTGGTTTATATTATGTAACACAGGTAGATGTCGTATAAAAATCCTTACCTAGAAATTCTAGGCTAGAATACAAAAATATTTTTATTATATAAATTTTGTACTAGTATTAGTTTAATACATTCTGAAGAAGCTACTGTGTAGCGAAACAATTGTCAATATTTAATTAATTTCGTGAAACTAACGCAAGTTGTTTTTATATCCACACAATTTCAACACTTTGTACCTGACCTGCGTAAACATTTTTGTTTTTTTGTCACCAATTCTAAAATATTTGCGTTTACAGTTAAAAGAATAGTATATTCGGTAACAAGTTTGACGGTTTCACGAGAGGGGAATATGCAATTCCAAACGTGTTTCAGACTATACTTTTTCTACGTTTCCAAAAAATACCATAGACAAAGAATTTAATTGGAAGAAAGTGAGGTTGGATCGGTCCAAAATTTGTTAGATATTAAAAACAGAGATGTCGCCACAAGTGTACATTCTGTCATCATTAAAGTTAAAAGAAAAGTTTGTTTATTAATTAGTTTCTAAGAAAATTACATTTTATTTAATTATCGTAGATGTTAATTATTAAAATTTAACTTTAAAAGTAAATATATCATAAGTATAGCAACCAACATTACACTCAAGATTTTTTACAAATACTTATGCCCCCGTTAGAACAGCACTGCACTGGACCGTGACCTTCGATAGATTGCTTCGTACGAATGTGCCGGATGAGTCACGTTCATATATTCGTGGTTTCTACTGTACCTACCTATTTATTAAACAATTAATTGAATTCAATGTAATAGCAAAAATCCATTTCTACCTAAATCATGTTGCTAGGTATTGTCAAACTATTACTGCTTCTAAAAGCAATAATAATTATTGTACACTTAATGTAATCTTTAGCTAATAAATAAAGAAATTCTAAAAAAGTGAGGTTAGGCCGCTTTGATGTTAAATTAAATTATATAAAGTGCTTTGAAGATAAAATGTTGTATGCCATTCGGCCAAGAAGTGCCTTTTTATGCTTTTTTGCGCTCAATTGTAGTCCTTCGCTACGCGTCGGCCTTCAAACCTTGAGCTTAGCACAAAAAGCCTTACTTCTTAACCTAATGACATAAATAACTATTATATAAAATATGTACAAAACAACTATATTTTTATTTTTATTGCTTACCTTCTAAAGTCTCTGCTCCAACAGGCATAGATGACCGGATTCATGCTGGAATTGACCCATCCCAACCACGTGACCACTGCCAAGATGATCTCCTCGTGCCATATGCACTGCAGACAAAACCCGGACAACAAGTTAACAACAAAAAATGGCAACCAACACACAATAAACACTCCCATAACTATACCGAGAGTTTTGGCCGCTTTCTTTTCTTTGGCGAACTTGGCCAACTTTCTGCTCAGCGAAAAGTTTTTGCTGTGAGGACCTAGGCGAGCGGAGGGCATACGAGCCAAACCGTTATTTTGGAGGGCTGTTAAAGGTTCGTCTTCCTGGGTTGAGTATAGATGGCGCGTCTCTGGGGTGGGTATTTTGCAAGTGCCCCCTCTATGGATCCTTAAGGTTAATTCGAGTTCCCCTGAACCAAGTAGAACTTGTTTGGTGCCTAACCGTAGAGATCTAGTTTGCGCCACAGCGGCTCTATATATTCTGTAGTAAGTAAACACCATTACGAAAAGAGGCAAGTAGAAGGATATAGTCGAGGAGAATATAATGTAGCCTAAGTGTTCTGTGAAAGGGCATTTGTACGCGGGTATGGGTTCGGTTCTAACAGCCCGCCACCAGACTATAGCGGGGAAGGAAATGGCACTTGAACACACCCATACGGCAGCTATAAGCAAGGCTGATTTTATTCGCGTCATCCTCATAGGATACGTGATTGGATCGGTGATGGCCCAATATCGGTCCAAGGATATAACGCATAAATTTAGTATGCTAGCAGTGCTAAATAACACATCCAGCGATCTCCATATATCGCACCAATCGGTGCCAAAAAACCAAGTGTGATCCAACACTTCGTAGAGGGCGCTGAACGGCATTACCACCAGCCCGACCAAGCAATCGGCTACCGCTAGGGATGTTATGAAGTAATTTGTGGCCGTGTGCAAATATCTTTCTCTAATGACGGCCAAAATGACAAGCATGTTGCCAAAGACCGTGGTCATCGAGAATAATAGGAGGAGAGATACGACGACTGCGTGGTCTTCGATAAGAGTGTTCCAGCGGTCCCACGCGTCCTTTCCCGGGTCTGACGTATTCGTGCCATTTTGGTCGCCGCCGAGTGCAGTGTAGTTGGAGTAATCCAAGTCCAAGCGTAACTCGTAGGACATGTTCATCTTTATGGTCGCTTTTCAAGTTCATCTCTAAAATAGAAAAACAAATTAATGAAATCTTTTACTGTCAACTGGAAAAAGCAGCATAAAGCCTCATTCAGAACCTGGTAATTAGTGGTTTTAATTAACGTGAAAGTTTGTCTTATGAATATACACGGTATTTTTTCTACGACCACTATGTAAAAGTCACTTTTCATGATGGCATCGTTGCTTAGAAAATTAATCTTTTCATTGGCAAGGCAAAACACGAATGTAAAGTGAAATTTCTGTGTGAAAAGTGACAGGTCTGTGTGAAAAGAACCGGAAAGCATCATTTGACATTCAGCTGTCAAAAAAGTTTTTAGGTTATTTTGTTTTGTATTTAAAAATAATAAAAAATAAAAGGGTCGCAGAAAAAACATTGTGTTATACTTGTGAGAAAAGCTTTCTTCAAGCTCGTGTTAATGCACACTCGGCCTAACGGCCTCGTGGGCAACTTAAAAACTCGCATGAAAAAGTCGCTTTTCAACACTTATAAAACAAATAACTATTTCACAACCAAAAAATTAATGGTAGTACTTTTCAATTAGTGGAAAAAGTTTGCAAACTTCTAACTTTTACCACTAATTATAATTGGAAAGCGGCTTTGCACATGTGCGCGGATATTTTATGTCAAAAGCAAAAAGTTTGAAGATTTGCCAGTGAAGGTAAGGTTATATAAATATTATTGTAATGGTTGTACAACATAGTATTTTAATATAATTAATATTGTTTATGTTAAGAAAAAATGTTAATTATAAGTTTAATTGAAACCACTAATTTTTTCTACTAATTACGAGGTTCTGAATGAGGCTTAAATGTAAAATAATTGTTGTAAATAAATTAAGGATTAATCAATAATTTAAATTAGTTATATCCAAAATCGTTTTTTAGAGAGGCTTACTTTAAAGTCAATTATTTAATCAAAATATTTATAAATATAATAATTTTTTTATTGAAAGATCTACAAGGTCTTTTAAATTATAGAAAAGTTGCGAAATTACAAGCCTATTAAAATGAAATTTATAATTCTAAAAAGCCAGCGGTTCTTAAAATATTTAAAATTTTGAAAATAATACATTTAACGATGTTTTGTTTTGAAAGGTTTTTAGTTTTTTTTAAATTATTTGAAAACCGGTAATTTTTTCCAACTTTTGTCTAATTTAACCGACCTTGCCCATACATAAAAGGAGACTTGGTGAACCCTGTGGATAAATAGAATTTAACAAGTATTTATAAAAAAGGGTTAAACCTTTATTTAAATTTAAAATCATTGTGCCTTTTTTAAATATAAACCTTTTTGGTCTAAATTTAATTTAAAAAGTTGCTATAATTTTCAAAATATTTAATATTTAATTTTTGATTTTATATTTTTTTTATTTCATTTAAATATTCTACTTAATTGTTTTGTGAAAATGGCTCATACTATTAAAGGTGACTTTGGGTATCTGTGTTATCTTTGGTCTAAATAATTATAATAAAAAAATTACATATTTTCTTATTATTAATCCCTGAGCATTCGCGATTTTTACAACGCATCTTATAGGGGATTTCAAAAAGGCTTCATGTCACGCTTTATATTGGTAACAAAATATTTAAACCTTAAAAATCACAAAACTGTAAAATAACAGAAAATGTAAAATAAAAACAAACTGAATTTTGTAATAAAAAAAACGCAATATTTTTGTTTTATTTAAATTTTGGTTTGAATATGGTGTGGAGGATCAGGATAGCACAAACAAAATTTTGCCAGTGGGTGGCTAGGAAAAAATATTTTCACAGTTTGGGGGGCTAACTTGTCTGACCAAAAAAAATCAAGTCAGAACCAAAAAATACATACAACCATAAACTTAAATAAAATAGAAATCAAATTCAATATAGGTAGCCCACAGAAATTGTCTAGGGGGGGGGGCAAAAACTATAAATGACAGTTGAGAAATTTAAGACGAATATTTTTTATTAAACAATTTAAAAACATTTAGTTGAACCTGCTTAAGTTTGATATTTATTTTTGTACCAAGTTAAGAGGGACCAAGAAGAAACAAAAAAATAATTTTTACTACCTTATTTTTATTTATGAATAATAATCGGCAATAATAAAAATGAAATTTTACATAGTGTTTTTGTAGAAGTAGGAAGTAGCTAATTGCTATAAGCAATTGGCAATTTGCTAATTCAAGATCTCTGATATATTGAAAATATGATCATATTTTCGCAAAATTTTATTTTGGTAATAAATGCGAAGAAATTTCCAGGGGGGGGCAAGTGCCCCCTCTTGCCCCCCCCCTCCGGGCGCCCATGTAGGTAGGTATGTAATAACATCATATCAAACCTAAAAATATGACCGAAAATAATATTTATTGTCTCTAGGGTCGGTAAACTCATATCGTCCCTAGGGCCGCTAAACTTGATTTTTGTATTTTTTCACAATCTAGACACCTTTGACTGTCATTTATGTATTTTGGCATTTGAGATTTTCAGACGATTGTGTAAATCAAAATAAAAACGGACAACAAAAGAATAAATAAAATAACAATAAAACCTGATTTAAATTTTGTAATAAAGTGAAAATGAATGGTAACTCGGACAGTGACGAAAAATTTACGAATACTTGACCAGATTTAAAAAAGAGGAAGCTAGCAATGTTTCTATGAATTTTTTACCTACAAAGTTAAGACAACGCGTTGCAACGGTTCGAAAAGTGATATGAATTATTTAAAAACTGGAAAAAGGATCAAAAAGCCAAAAACTTAACAGAAAATGTATTAGTTGCTTATCTATCGGAAAAATCAAAGATTGTGAATGCAGAATTTTTAATTTTAAAAAGCACTTAAAAAGTAAAGGAAAATATTAATTACACTAAATATAACAAATATGTTTTCCTTAGACCTACCCACACTTCCCATAATCGCCTATACATGTATTATAAAAATAATAAATGCACAGTAAAACCGATTGGAAAAAATACATTTAGCAAAATTTAAAGCAAAATAGACACTTTTTTAAACTGCCCAAACCTTATAAATGCAAAGGGCAGTCCTTCCGTCGTAGTTCTGCAACCTTACTAGCTAACGCTGAGAGTGATTTGCTGATACTTAAAAAACATGGGGGTTCGTGGTATTCTGCAGTTGTAGAAAGCTTTATCAATTACTGCATAGCTATAAGATTTACATTTCACAAACCAAGAACACCAGCCTAGTACTGGCAGAAATAATACAATTGAAGTATTGAATATTTCTAATCAACTGAATAAAATACTAGTTTATACAGATAATTCTAATGAAACATCAACTTCATCTGTAGAAATAAGCCTTTAAATTCTGGTACTATCCACAATTGTGCTCAAGGCATAATTAACGTTAGATTATACGTTTTAATAAAATTAAAAAAAAAATTTGTTTGATGCGAAAAACAGATGTGTAGCACACATTCAGAAAACGCATTAGCAGCCCTTAGCTATCAACTGCATTTAATAGCCGCGGGCTGCTTAAGGTAGTTTTCTGCCCTTGAGACACAATATACTATAATTTTTTGACATTTCGTTTAACCTAGTAACATGAATTAAACTACTTGTTTTTTTTTAGATTTATTTAATTCCATTTATAAATTATTGTCGAAATAGACAAAATGATATGAAAAACTTGTGTTACAATGACTCGTACTATGGCGGTACTCCGCAACAATATACTATTATCTTTAATCAAAAAACCTCCTAGGCAGTAAACATAACTTAGACCAATCTCGTAAAGTTTTTTACCTCCTAGTCTGTAAAAAACAATAAAAAAGTTCTACCACTGTCAGATCTAATCTAACCTCCAATTTGTATAATTGTACGTTTTATGTATTGTTTAACAAATAAAATTAGACCTTAAAGATAAAATGCTGCATGCGATACGGCTGAGAAGTGTCTTTTTGTGCTTTGCTCAATTGTAACGATTCGGCATTTATAATTTGAGCTGAACACAAATGAGGAGCATCAGTGCAAAACCGGCTAAATCCATTTTATTCAGTTTTTGTTTTTTTTTTTTTGATTTCGCATCTTTGGGTTCATTTCTATCGACAACCAAGATAATTCTGTTTAAATCCGACTAAATTAAAATCACATTTAAAAGGTAGCTTTAGGAGCAAAACCGGCCAAATCCACGTTTTTATAGCAAACCCGGCTATATCCAATAAATAATAATATGTGGCTTGGATATGTCGATACTACTACTAAAACTTGTTCTGTTTTTTCATGTTTACACTAAATTTATTTTGTTAATATTTATGAATAATAAAGGTTTTTTTCACATTTTATTTGTTTTGTATTCGGTTTTCGAGCAAAACCTGGCTATATCCAAAACATTTTTTGAAATTTTGGCCTTAATATAAAGTTTTTGAAAACGAAAGTATGTCTTATAAATCAAGTATCACAAAGCCCACAAAACTCAAGTTTGCTTTTTCTTTTATCTGTAAAGGCCAGGAAACCCAGAGTTTTTGCCATTTTCCCAACATTTTATTAAAGTGGATATAGCACGGATGCTCCTCAAATATACTCACTTTTTATCCTTATGACATAAATAACTATTATTTAAAGAAACATTGTTGGAGAAAAATACTTTAACCACTTTTTGTTTTGGTTTTGAGGAATATTTCTAATATCTGTGTAACATATCACCAAAGTTATCCGTTTTCAAGTAACTATTATTTAGTTTGTCTGGTTAGAATTCGGTTCCTTTTGAACCCCAATAACTGTTTTTCCTTCGTCTATGAAAGTTAAATAACTTCTTAATTTGTGTGTATTTTCGAGTACTTATGCAATAGGAGTATGTAGGTGGTTTAAATAAATATTCCAAATATAAACATAATATATAAACGCTGCGGTATTGAAAGCTATAGCTTAAGAGAATCTACACGGTTTTGCTTTTGGCATCTAAATTTATGTACATAGCAAAACATAAACAAACAGTGAAAAATTTGCTATGTATAGTTGATTTAATCCTTGA